TGCCCTGGAACACCATCACCTTGGAAGGAAGTTGCCATCCCGGTCTGTCTAGCCTGGAAATCAGGGCCACACTGTTGCTAGTATGCTGTTGTGCGGCCCCCAGCAAAGCTGTTGTATCAGAATCATCTGGCAGGAGTTCTCTAGCTCCTGGTGTCTGGGGTCAAGTGCTTGTTGGTTGACTGGAGAGCAATGACTCATGAATGTGGCCACCAGGTGTCCCCCTGGGGGAGCATGCCTGGAACAAAAGCTGCCTGGTTTCTAGAGGAAGAAGCTGAGCTGCAGTCTAGCTCGAGGGTGGAGGAAGTCTGTCTCCCATCCTTTACGGCTCCATTCTCCATGTGCACAGAAGTCACCCAGGGTTTTTTTTTTTTTTTTTTTTAATCGGTACCGGGGATCGAACTCACAAACGCCTGCTTGCAAGGCAGGTGCTTATGCAGCTGAGCTAAATCCCCAGCCCTTGTTTTGTTTTTTAACCAGGCTTGGATCAGAATCCTTCTCAATCCAGCATTTACACAGCCAATCATTGGAGCTCATAAATCTTAGCTGTTCCTGAGTCCACCATGTCCCTTTACTAGAAAGGACACAGGCCTTAACAGGGGAAGTGACTGGTCCAGGCTCCCAGCCATGAGGGATGGCGCAGGAATTTAAGACCCAAGCGGGTGGACTGGGCATCGTGAACAGGCCTAGCTGGGTCCCAATCCAGACATCAAATTCCCAGGCCAGCCGCGCCACTCACTCCTGCTGCCCTGGCCACTCAGCGGCTTGTCCTGTCACACAGTGGGGACAGCATCCAGCAGGGACAGGATGGGGGTGTAGATAAGGTTTATTTCCTTTGTAGTTCGAAGTGGGCCCCTCCAAGGACGAGGAGAGTATGACTCAGCCGAACCCCAGGTCAAAGCAGAGAGCAGAGCAGAAGATGAGAGGAGGGCCAGGTTTTCGCCCACCACTTCTGCACCTCAGAGTGCAGCAGCTGAGGCCGGGGACTAAGGCTCATGGCCTGGCCTTTCTGAGCCAGTCGTCCTGGTGAGGCCCCGAGGCTGCCCTGCCCTGCCTTTTCCTTCTCTTCATGTGCCCTTTCCAGCAAGGCAGCACTGAGGCCACTCCTCCGGGCTTCTGTGTCCTGCTTGATGGGCAGGACACAAGGAATGCCAGGGCCTTGTTGAGCTACCACTTCTGTTTTTTGCTAAGTCTCATTCCAGATGAGACTCTGTTGGACTATTTCTTCTTGTCACTTTTCTAGAAGGACAGTGTTGCTAGTGGTTGGTCTGAAATCAGCAACCGCAGAAAAGCAAAGGCTACCAGGTGACACAGAAATCCAGTATGAGGCTCAGAGAGGTCAAGTGACTTGCTCAAAGCCACACAGCTAGGAAGTTCACAAGCCTGTGCCTAAATTTAACTCTCCCGACTTTCCAAGTCTCCCTTTACCTCAGTCCTGTTCCAAGGTCCTGTAGCTGTTGAGCTAAAATCAGCAGGATTCTTTCCAAAGGACCCACTAGACCCTGAGCACCAAGAGCTTTGCACATTCTCTGCTCTGTGTACCAGAGCTGTTCACAGCATCCTTGGCCACAATGGCAGGAAACTGTGGATACGGAAGAGCAGGGGTGGGCTTGTCCCCTCTGCAGGTGCCTGGAGACAGGGTAAGGACAATTCACATCACAATTGTCTTACTTTTCTTACCAACAAGAGAGTTCTCACATAGACCTGAGACCCCGTGGTCCTGCAGCATACACCAGCTTCTGACCTCACCCGCGTTTGTCCTTTAAAGAGGAGGAGCCAGCTGAGCTCCCTGTGGTCATGGTCACACCAACCCCTGCTCCAGATGTCCAGGGAGATCAGGAGGAGGATCCTGAGGTGCTCAGCCTCTGCACAGCTAGAGGGGAGTTGAGAGGCCCAGGGAGGACTTTCTGGCCAAAAATGCTTCCTTCCTGGAGGCCTGAAATCCTATTTGAGTTTTAGCCATCCAGGGTTAGATTTACCTTTCGCTGAAATCACTGAGATCTCCTGGGGCCATCTCAAGCTTTGAGCTGCCACATGCCGTGAGGACATAAGGAAAAGTCAGCCAGTTTGTCAGCAGCGAAGGGACAGTGAGACAAGCCACCTGCAGATACCGGGGACTGAGATGCAGGGGTGCCTCTCAGATGAGGCCCTGAAGCCTCTGGGGTCTGGCTGCTCCTCATCTGCAGAGTCCCCGATGCTCTGGCTTTATATCCTCCCCTCCCTCCATATTCTGGCCAAACTGAGTTTCTCTCCACTTTTCTGTCCCTGGGCCTTGGCCCACGAGCCTCTCCATCTTCAGATTCTTTCGCCCTCCAGGCCCAGGGTAAACGACTGCTTTCCCAGGCAGCTTCCCTGAGCACCCCAAGTTGGAAAAGGGTGCTTGGCATCTGTGCTGGGCCTTTTGTCACTGCTCCCTCCATATTTGGAGCCTCTCTTAGCTCCCCTACTAGGGGATGAAGTTCCTGAGAGCAGGGTCTGAGTCTGGGTCACCTCAGTGTCCACCATGGAGGGAGATATCAGGTTGAGTGACTGACTGACAGTAAATAAACATTCAGTTTGCAAGTTCTGTCTGTCTATTCTTTTATTCAACACCAGGAAGCACTATCCCTCATCCATAATTCTTTAGGGTTCAGCATCTACATTATCTTCCCATATCCTAAATGTCCTGAGCAGGCCCACTTGTCTGGGAAGGGTTCAAAGGCTATGGAGTCGCACGCAAGGAGTTATGCTTGGTATCTAAAGTTATGCCTGTGAGGGCCTCTGTCATCCTGGTGGCTTCTTCTCTCACTTGCTGCCCTCCCTGATGGCCCCTTCTCTGTGATGGGACTCTGCAGCTTGGCCTCTCTCAGCAGCCTGGTTTCCTTTGTTTTCCTTATTGGTACACATTAAACTGTCGCCAACTAGAGATTACTCTCAGTCTGTTCAATCCAAGCCATAGGCCAGGGATCTAGCTCCTACCCTGTCAACTGTGGCCAGAGATTGGGGTGCCTTGGACTCCAACATGGAAGATGAGAACCTACTATTTTGCGTGGGCTATTGGGGATGACAGGTCTCAGAGATGACAGTTTCAGAGCTAATGATTTACTGACTAGTCACCTCTTCTAGAAAGTCTATTCCTGATGGGAATGAAAGGCAGGAATTATTTCAGGTTAAAATCCTCTCCCTTTCCATCTGCAAGTCTAGCAGAGCTGTTGGTGGATAGTAATAATGGCTTCTCCACGTGTTCTCAGGGTAGGTTGTATATTAGAATAATTTGGGGAAGCTTAAAAGATTGCTCAGGCCCCATCCTCAACCACTGATGTCAGCGTATCTGGGGTTGGTTCTTGGGCATCTTTAAACCAGTTTAAGTGATTTGGATATGCAGTGGACAGCTGAGGGTACAGCTCAGTGGCACAGCTCCTGCCTGGCAAGCATGAGGTCCTGAATTTTAATTCCAGATACCAAAAAACAAAACAGAACAACAGCAACAAAAATATGCAGCAGAGTTGAGAATTGCTGAACATCCTTTGGGGGCATTGCCAGTACTGTGACACTTGCTGCAGATGACATATTTATGTTTCCTTCAATGAGCATAAACCCAGGTCACTGCTCAAGGGCTTGGACTAGTGTGGTACAGGTTAGTTGGGAAAGGTTTCTGCAGACCCTTAGGGTCAGTGACTGTCAGTGTGGAGACAGTCTGTGGTTCCTGTAGATTAGAAGCATTCCTAACGAATGCAGGAGAATGCATTAAGTCACTGGAATCCAACCCCAGAGATCCTATTTTACTTGGTAAGTAAAGACCAGGACATTTATACTTCTAATGGGCTCCCAAGTACCACATTTGGGAGCCAAAGTCTCACTGGATTCTGGCATTTGTAAAACAGGGTGTCTTGGTGATAATGAATAAACAATTGTACTATACATATTCAAATCCCAACTTTATCACTTGCGAACTCTGCAAGTTTAGCTTCTGTTTACCCTAATTTTGCCATTTGTAACATGAGTACAGTTCTATCTATATTATAAATTAACTGACTCAGGAAATGTGGTAAATGCAATTATCAAGAAGCCATTTTATTGTGGTTGCCGGGCACACAAATATGTGCAATTAATAGTATCATCATTACTTGGCAAATATAAAGTACTTTAGGAGTTTCAGTGGACTCAGCAAGGTGTTGTGACTACGGAAGGGTATCAAGCATGTCAGACACAGTGCTGGGAGCCTAGTATCTAAGACAAGGGAGCTGATGGACTGGTTCCAAGGCGTATGTGTCGTGTTCACTTGGGATGTTGGGGAGGGAGTCTCTAGGTCACAGCATGGGGGCAGGACAGAAGGCCTGGGGATCTTTAATCCAGGTCAGACAGCTGTCATGTGGAAGGGTAAGTATGCTTGTTCAATATGCTTGCAAATAGTGAATTTACACACCCGGGAAGGGGAATAGATGTTTGATATAAATATCAAGCCAAGAAGAGCTGTCAAAGATGGTGTAAACTGCTTTAGGTGGTGAGCTCTCCATCACTAGAAATGACTAAGTAAAAGATGAACAGCCAGGGCTGGGGATTTAGCTCAGCGGCATAAGCGCCTGCCTTGCAAGCAGGCAGTCGTGAGTTTGATCCCCAGTACCGATAAAAACGAAAAAGACAAAAAAAAAAAAAAAAAAAAAAAAAAAAAATTAAAAAAAGATGAACAGCCAGCAGGTAGGGATGTTGCAGGAATTTTGTTGAATAACTGCACTAGTTTTCTCTCTCTCTCTCTCTCTCTCTCTCTCTCTCTCTCTCTCTCTCTCTCTCTCTCTCTCTTTTGGTACCGGGGATCAAACTCACAACTGCACACTTGTAAGGCGGTGCTTATGCCACTGAGCTAAATCCCTGGCCCTAGATTTCTCTTTTTAAAGTATTTATGTACAGTTTTGAGAAAAACAAAAAAGTGTGTGTGTGTGTGTGTGTGTGTGTGTGTGTGTGTAAAGTTTGGAAGAGAAACAAACAGAGCAGTTACAAGTTAATCTGTTGACTCTGGATTGCAGGAAGACATGGCTGGAGCTGAGAAGAAAGGTGAAATTGAGGAGAAAGGTGGTGGGAAAGGTAAAAGGGCAGCAGAAGGAAAAGATAAACGTGAAGACAAAACTGAGACAGGAGGAAAACAAGATAGTGGTGAAACTGAGGCAGAAGGAAAAGACAAGCAGGAAGATGAACATAAAATACAAGCAGAAGATGAAGGGCAAAGTGAAGGTAAAGCTGAAGCCCCAGAAGCCAAAGCTGAAAATGCAGAAGTCAAAAATGAGAAAGATACAGATGATGAGGGGGTCAGTGAAGAGGACGAGGAGGACGAGGAGGACGAGGAGGACGAGGAGGAGGAAGAGGAAGAAGAGGAGCCTCTGTCCCTGGAGTGGCCTGAGACCAGGCAGAAGCAGGCCATTTACCTCTTTCTCCTGCCCATCACGGTCCCGCTGTGGCTGACGGTGCCTGATGTCCGGAGGCAGGTGAGCGTGGCCAGCCACTCTCCGGCTGTCTCTCAGGGAGCTGCAGGGCCTTGAGGTAGCCAGAGTTCACAGCTAGAGGCAGCAGGTGGGAAAAGCAGCAAAGCAGAGCTCTACCCCTGCTGGGAAGTGGGACGGAAATGTGGCTCTGCAGGGGACAATGTGCCTGGGAACATCCATGGGGATGCCTTAGACCATACTTGGGCCCTAGGCCTGTCACCATCAGCAGCATGGATTAGTCACTTCTTGATTAATTTGGGAATGATGCTACTGTACTGCCTCTGCAATTCATGGGGGTGTTCTGAGAAATGGGGGTGAGAGCTGCTATTTCTACCTAACATTCTTATCTGAAGGGAAAGATCTAATGTCTTCCACTCAGAGGTAGTTGCTCTTCTGTCTCTGGAGCCAGAGGCAATGTGTGTGTGTGTATGTGGGGGTTTTCAAAAGCCCAGCTGAATGCCTAGGGGCCAATGCTGGATCACCAAATAGCTTGCTTCATTCAGTCTGGGGCTGCCGAGGCCCCCTCCTGCCTGTAATCCTTACTCATTCATCTCAAGGCCCCACTGGGAGAGGACATTTCCACATTATTCTCTGGGCACCCATGCTCCAAAGCCCTTTAGTTCTACAACTTCTCTTCCTTTTCCAACTCTCCCACAGGAGTCTAGGAAGTTTTTTGTTATCACCTTCCTAGGAGCCATCATTTGGATAGCCATGTTCTCCTACCTCATGGTGTGGTGGGCTCACCAGGTAAGTGGACGGCAGGAAGCCACTCCTGCACCCGAGGGTCAAGGGTACACTTTTGCTCCTTGAGATCAATTTCTGGCACTCAGAACTACTGAACATCAAGTGGATATGTGCAGATTGTACCTTACTTTTAAAGGCTGAGGAAGCAGATTTTTTATTCCAGTCATTACAGTGCTCCTTAGGGTTGCTTCTGTGTTAGATGGCGCTCCTACCATAGCATGACAGGGTATCTTGAGTGTCTTGACTGCAGCTGACTTGGTCCTCTTACCCCTTTTGCTTTCTCCCCCGTGCTTTGATAGCTCAGCTCCAAGCTCTCTCTGGCATCTCACCATCTGATCGCTCATGGCTTGTCTGTCTGGAGCTGCATGTAGCAGAACCTAATTGTCAGTCAGCCTTCTCGCTGGCTGAGTAGGGTCTGTGTGGCACTGCTTATACTTTATCAGCCTTTACCTAGCTCCTGGCATGTGGCAGGGGTCCATATTTTTGAAGTGCAAATGCCAATTTGAGCACACCTTTGGGAGGGTAGTTCTTAGGAGAACCGTTGGCATGATAGTGAGGGCAGATCTGGTCTCAGGCTTTTAGTCCTTTTAGAGAAAAGCAGCACTCTCACTCTCTGGCTATTTCTGGCCCTCATTCAGGCAGTGTTGATCTCTTAGGAAGGTGCCCTATTCGCAGAGTAGCATGGTTTTTCACCTACTGTTGCCATAGTTTTTGTGACTGTTGCTGTTTTCCAGGTTGGTGAAACAATAGGGATTTCAGAAGAGATCATGGGCTTGACAATCCTAGCAGCTGGCACATCAATTCCTGACCTCATCACAAGTGTGATCGTTGCTCGGAAAGGCCTAGGAGACATGGCTGTGTCAAGCTCAGTGGGCAGTAACATATTCGATATCACTGTGGGGTGAGTGGCAGCGCTGCTTTCCAAGGCATATTAAATACAACTGGAGAACACTGCACTGCCTCTGCTGGCTGGCTTTGGGCTTCATGCATTATACAGGAAATTAAGAGGCATTTATGTTGTTAGTTTCTCCAAGACTACAAAGTATACCCCTTTATTATCACAGTCAGTTGGGTAACAGAACTAAAATACTGCCTGAAACCAGGCATGGCTTTACATGCTTGTAATCCTAGCTACTTGGGAAGTAGAGGCAGGAGGATCTTTAATTTGAGGTCAGCCTAGGCAATTTAGCAAGATCCCATGGGTGGAGGGGAGAAAGATGTCTGAAATGGGGCTGGGGATTTAGCTCAGCAGCTCAAGTGCTTGCCTGATAAGCACGAGGTCATAAGTACAATCTCCAGTACAAAAAAAAATTATCTGAAATGTAACTGGTTGAAATTTATAGATGAATTGAAAAGTGAAGTCCATTCCATTTCCAAATACAGCCAAATATAGACGTTGAAGGCAATGGATGAGAGGCTAGAGGGAATCATTTCTGCCTTGATTCTCCTGCTCTTCTCATTTAGCCTCCTCCTGGGTCAGCAGCTCTAAAACGCCTTGTTCTCTTCTGCCCATCTTTTTCCCAGCCCCCCGACCTTTCACTTCCTCCATCAAGTTCCAGATTTGGTCCTGTAATGTAAGTGTAGGTATATAATAGTGAGGTGGTAGTAAAAAGGCATATGAGAACCCTGGTCACTAAAGGAAACATTAAATCAATTCACATGGATTAGTCATATAGAAGTCATGAAGCTGCAGGGAAAAAAGGTCGGTTCAGAAGCAAAGCCCTCATTTTCATCTAGGCTTTCTCCCTGTGAATTCTTGGACAAGTGTTTTAATATCCTGGAACTTTAAATTTCATCATCTATAAGTGGGGCTAATAATTTATGTTCTACTTTATAGTTTTGTGCATGTACGAAAAATAAGTGCCTTGTAAACTGTAAAATGCTAGTTAAATGCATGGAATTATTAGAAACATTAAGAATATTCACAGTTTCTTCAATCTTGCAGCTTGCCGGTCCCTTGGTTCCTTTACTCCCTCATCAACGCACTGCAGCCGGTTCCAGTCAGCAGCAATGGTTTGTTCTGTGCGATTGTTTTGCTTTTCCTCATGCTTCTCTTTGTAATCTCATCAATTGCATTGTGCAAATGGAGAATGAACAAGATCCTGGGCTTCACCATGTTCCTTCTTTACTTTGTGTTCCTGATCATCAGTGTGATGTTAGAAGATCGAATCATCTCCTGCCCTGTGTCTATCTGAGTCAGTGACTACTATGCACAATGCACATGGGTGGGAAGACCAGGCCAGAATTACTGGACCTCTAGTGACACAAGGGGAAACATGGTTCAGGAGGTTCAGGAGGATGGAGTGAGCAGCCCGAGTCTCTATGAGAATGTGAGCTGGACCTGAGCCATATCCTTGGAAACGCCTGCAGTTCTTTGTGGACTGAGGAACCTCATGCCACAAGGTGGCATTCCTACCCGATTCAGGCCCACGGCAATCACACGGAGGAAGCAGGAATCCTACTGGAGGATGTCAAGGGAAGGGCAGGGCTGCACCGCAGCAATAACATGAGCTCCCTGGCTCAAGTTAGTTGCCTGCTCATTCCCGAAGAGCCCCTGATCCAAAGATGCAGATGGGATCTAAATCTTAGTCCCCTGGCCCTGCCCAACCACACCATGCAGTTTGCTATGTTCTCTCTGTTGAAAGGTGAAATTCTACCAGCTTTGCAATCACTACAGGTCTGGTTATTAGCTAAGGCTACAGGGGGAAAAAAGCGTAACAATCAGTTATTCTCTATCATAGTCCAGCAAAGTATACACCAGTATTTTTTAGCTTAAAAAGAAGACATTAGCTTTTAATGCTGCATTTCTGGAAAGTGAAATTCAAACATGAAATTGTCAGAGAGGTGAAAACTTGTAATCTTCCCTTGATTTGGAAGAAGTGGAGAAAAGTAACAGCCTCCAAGGGCTACTTAAAAATTTTATGTATGAGAAAACCCAAATTTGGGTTGTTGCCATCCGTGGTCACCCAAGGGATCAGGTAATGCTGCTCCCAGGGGCTCTCACTGGGCAGTGATGTGATTTTAGAGAGCGCAAAGTCAGCAGACTCATGTCTGGCTTATAAAGTAAGTGGTCCAGCAGGCAGTTCTATTTCTTGTAACCCTTGACAGGGTTGTGAGGCAGGAACACTGATTTCTTGTATGGTTTGTAAGTGGATTTTAAGGCAGTTAACAAGGGGAAATCCCAAAAGTCACACAATGATGAGGTGAGAAAAAAAAAGTAACAGCACTTCTAAGTTAGCTACTGTAAAAGGTGTGTGTTACCATAAAAATTTTTGTTTAAACATTTCATGTGGAGTTTGATAGCTTTATGTCTCTGGTTTCAGAGCAAAAAGGACTTAGGTGACCTCAGATTATAATGGCAAAGGTGGCTTTAAGTATGAGGGATGAGTCACTCAAGCACAGAGTAGGAATGATGTGCATGAAAAACAGTATCAATCATGTGGTGCTGGAAGGCTAAGGTGCACGAAGCACTCCATCTTTTAAGATGAACTGGTTCATTTGATTAACTGCCTCACTGCTTCAGGATGCCCATTTTTTGGAAGTAATTTTTATTAAATTTCAATAAAAATAGTGTGTTCTTGTGGTATTTAGCTTTGCAAACACGGGTGGGCTCATCCCTGTCTTGGCATTTGGTCACAATGACACATATGAGATTTCTGTTCCTCATTCTTGTCCCTACACTGTAGTCTTCCACTTGCCAGCCTGGGATCTGCACTGATTCCAGGTGGCCTGGTAGATGTCACCTCTTCACTGACAGCCTTATGCTGTTCATCAAACTGAGTGAAGAGGAGTGGGCAGTCAAATGTTCTGTAGTGACTGCTAGGTTAGCCATTTAACAATTAAAGCCCAAACAGGGCGTGGTGGCCTCTCCCTGTGATTCTAGCACTTTGGAGTCTGAGACAGGAGGATTGTCATGAGTTTGAGGTCAGTTTGGGCTACACAGTTGAGTTCAAGTCCAGCTTGAACTACACAGCAAGACCCTATCTCAAAAATAATAATAATAATAATAATAATAAAATTAAAGCCAACTCTCATCATCTAATAACCTATTCCAATCAGTGTACTAAAATTTCTGGCACTTCCCTTTGCTTCCAAATAAATCACTTTACAATATTACAGGAAAGGACAAGTACAGAAATGAAAGTCTTGGTAGTGAAGGCACAGGAAATTCTGGGTTGGCAGGGAGGGGATTTCAGGGAGATGGAAAACAAAGTAACTTCCAACAAAAACCAATTTCTTATGACTGGAAATGAAATTTCTTGTTAGACATTTACAAATTTGTAACTTATTAAAAAATCATCTCTTTTTAGAGGTAAAGTACCATTTAAAAACTGTCAAGATAATATTGTTTGGCCCTCTCACTTCACAGGCCAAATGATCTGTAAAGTTACCTGCGGCAAATTCTAGGTCATTGATTCAGCCTAGAAAGTCTGAACATTACCCTGCGGATGTCTGAACTGGAAGACAGGGATGATGGGTGTGATTTGGAAGAAGTGGAGAAAAGAAATAGCATGATGGGTTCCTCTTGGGGTTGTGCTTCCTCGATGGTCCTGGTAATACATTTGTGCTAAATTTCTCAAGCATAAAAAGGGTTAAGATTCTATATAATACCTAAAAAGAGATCCCAAAGTTTTGAAAATTAGTAAATGTTTAAACTATTACTATACATTTTGAATATTACACTGTACTATCATCAATAGAATTGAAAGTATTTTTGAAAAAAATCAGGTTTTAAAAAAAAGTAACATTACTGATATTACAATTATCATTTAAAAACTGAGTACCAAAGTGGATAGGAATTAGGGTTTAATATTTAGGGCACAGCCTGGTAAACAGATATAAACTGGCAGGCCAAATATGGCAATGAACACCCTTGGTTCTGACACTTTGTTGTGTGTGTGTGGGGTCCCTTGCAGGTGCAGCCTGCATTGTGTTTGGGGACTTGTCACTATGAAAGATGCAAACACAATGCATGGACAGGCCTATGCATTCCTCAGGGTTACTAAAGCCTGGCAGGATTCCCCAGTATAAATCTCTTGCACAAGCAAAGGTGTATTTCTGATGTTCAGATCCTTCGCTGTGATGAGCAAACAAAATCTGGAGAACTTCAATTTAGACAAGCCCATGAGTTAGTTTCCCCAGTACTAAATTTGAAAAGAAAATCTTTAAATCCAAAGCCATCCAAATGACTGGAAATTGTGGAAAAGTAGCAATAGCTTTTTCAGAAGAGTCTGTAACCATATCAGAATATACGCATATGTGTACAGGCTTTGCTAATCAAGAGAAAAATTCCTACACTGATTTGTGCACTGCTATTATTATAAACAAAAACAATTCCTCCAGCACATGTGCTTTTGATGAGGACAGAGGAATAAGGTAGAGTAATATGAAAGAATGGTAAGACACCACAAGTGTTGAGAAAATATTAAAGGAAACTGACTTACGGCTGCTAGATTGAAATTCTGATGGAAAGCTTAGTGCTGTATCCAAACAGGAAAGGGCAGAGCGTGCTAACTCTAGCACAAAAGCCTGTCAGAGAGGCCACCTGCTCTTTCCCCTCTTGCTCTAAGATTTAAGTACATAATAGTAACTTTTTATGTGTTAGTGGAAGAAATAAAAATAAAGCTGAGGGCTGAGGATTTAGCTCAGTGGCACAAGCACCTGCCTGGCAAGTGCAAAGTTGTGAGTACAAAAAAAAAAAAAAAAAAAAAAAAAGCTGGGCTAGTGAATATTACCAAGCAAGCATTTTCTTTCTATGTACTACAAAGTGTTAAAAAATATAGCTTAACTTCTATAAAGAGCTAACACTAGCTAATTCCACTAAAATATAATACTAGTTGTCAGCATTAAATTTAAAAAGTATTTATTGTCTAAAATGTTAAGCCAACATTTTCTAGGGCCATTTCTTTACATACAAAAATAAGGAGACATATTAGAAAATCTTAAGCCTGTAATTTTAAACTTTTAAAGGAAAAAACACTTTAGAAGAATCAGGAAAAAAAAAGAGAACTTGAGAAAATGAACAGGTGCATAACTCCCTAATCTGGAAACAGGAGGAAAATGTTGAAATCTGAAATATGATATAAAATACCAAAAAGTGATATTCAGGCAGTGAGAGGAAGAAGTAAACAAATATTACTAGTATAGAGCATGATTTATTTTTAACAATTTAAACATATAAGCAAAACTAAGAGTAAGAAAATAAGAGAGACAACATAGTAAAAGGGAATCTCTCTCGAATATAATTGGTCAAAATGTATTGTCAACAGAGAGAAAATTGGAAAGTTAGTATAGAGTTCTTTAAAGGATGATCCCTGTTATAATTCTCTTTGGAGTAGGGTTTACCATTTTCTACTCATGTTTCAGGTTTTATTTTTGTTTGTTTTTTGCAGTGCTGGGGATGAAACCAGGGCCTCACTCATGCTAGGCAAGTGTCCTACCACTGAGGCACATCTCCAAATCTAGGTTTTAAGGACTTTTTGCAGTAACAGTCTCTGGGGATTAAAAATAGGTGAGATAAAACTCTACCCAAAGTCAGAAACAAAAACAAAACTCAGGGTTGGAGGGGGGAGACAAAAATTACATTCACTTTTCCAAACGAGTTTTAGCCATAAAGAATGGACTTTGCCACTCTTTTTTGTCAGATACCTGAAATCAAAAAAGCATGATTTCTACATACATATTGTTTGTATTACAGAAAAAGTAATAGTGCAAGCTGTTCTTATAAAGGAACAAAAAACAAATAACCACCTAAACTAGAAGAGAACCCCAGAATCCTCTTTGGATGGATGCTCACCACCAACACTAAAGGCTTTCTCTATTCACTGTTTCTCTAAATGGACAACTTTCAAATCACTTAGAGAACACAAGAGTCAATTAGAATGTGAAGGCTGGGTTTGAACAGTAAAGAAGACCAAGACTGGAGTGAATGGTATTTACATAGGAGAGGCAGATAGATATATGTGCATAGCACCGGATTTTTCAAGTAAGCAAGTTCAGCTCCAAACTAATTGAACTGAATTTGTACATTTTTAAACTCTTTCCATTATTTTTCATAGTAGAAAAGCTGTGAAATGTTTCAGTTTGGCGCAGCTCAATAATGGCATGAACTTTAAGGCAGTTTTTCTGCAGATGATCCAATGCTAACTCTCCAGGGCTCCAAGATATTTCCAGTGTCAGTGTCACAGATTTAACTGACTTTACATACTAAATTTGGGACCATCACTATTTTCTTCTTTAAAACTGAGACTTCCTTTTAAATGACAGTCTGTGCAAGTGCATCTTTGCACTGAGTATCTATAATAAATAATTCTAATGACAAAGGATTATTTCTTTATTAGAAATTACCCAAAGAAACTGGTATTAGAAATGATGCGACTGAAATGTATTTCCAAAATCTATTTAGTACTTATGATGTTTAAGCATTCAATTTATTTTCTGATTTCTGGATATTTCCGCCTTTTAGATTTCACAAACTTCAGATTCTGAAGCTTGTTGAAAAATTAAGTTCCTCAATATGGGAAATTCTAACTGGCTGTACTTTTAGAGGGTTATGATTTTTTTCTACTTTCAAAAAAATACTTTGACTATTTATATATACTATTAACAGAATACCCCAGTAAATCACTTCAGATAAATATTTTATAGTATAGTTCATAACATATTCAGTATTTTAGATAGGAAAATAAGGATGAGATTTGGAATAGTCAACTCTCGTATTTTTCAGTTTACTCTCAAAGGAGTGTATTAAAATTTAAATTGTTATTTGGATTGTGAGTTATTTTCTCTGTGTACTGTAGGTATCTATTAGCCACAGAGGAGAAACTGGAGTCGTGTACAGTGGACCTCTCTGGTTCTCCTTCCGCAAGGCTCTGGCGGGGCAGTGTATGTCATCCTTGCCACAACTCAGTGCCATCAGGCTAAAGGGAATGAACATGCGATCCTAGGGTGAGGGTGACACCAGTACTGACACTTTTAAAACTCATTCTCCCAAGTAATAAAATATATATATACATATATATAGACAGATGTACACATAGAGATCTATAGAGATCTGTAGCTGTACTAATTACTTCAAATAGCAGCAGACAAGGAAAATAAACGCTTGTGTAATAAGTTTAAATTCATTTTAAGTTTGCTATATTAAATTTAAAAATTAAAAAAATATCAACTTACTATAAACAATTTAAAATATGTATAATACAATTTGATGGTCAAAACATTTGAATAGTCTACGAAAACAGGAGATATTTTTGTCTTGCATTGTTGTTTTGGTTCCATATGTGGTTTTTACGTCTCTTCTAAGAAAAACGATAGAACAGTTGTCTTATTTTATGACAACCAATTTTGTTTAAGATTTCATCATCACAAAAATACTTCATTACTTACTAGAGGGGAGTCAAAGAAAAAAAGAAATGGGAAACAAAGTGGCTCCTTCCCTATTTGTCACTGTTCTCTTCTGAAAACATTCTGTATATAAGCTATCTGAACCTCCCAAACCATTTACAAATGCATTCTCAAAAATTGAAGAAAAAAGTTTAGCATCTAAAAGTGTTATTTTGTATAGTGACTGTACAATATATATTGAATGTACACACACACACACACACACACACACACACACACACGCACGCACACACACAATCTTAAAGATAAGGTTCTCCAAAGGTTTTTCGACATTCCATCACACCCGTGCTTGGTGGTCTGTCACAGTTGTGTGTACTCTTGACTTGACTAGGTGTGAGACGATCATACGCTGTCTTGTATTCCTTGTCAAATGCATCTGCAAAAATTCATAATACAGGCATTGAGAAATTTAAGTCTGGTGCTGATAATAATCAAGTTTCTAAATACTACAGAATCACAAAATTCGGAGCCAAGGAGGAATCTGTTTCTGCCATTCAAAGGATCACAAAGTTCAAGGCTAGCAGGGTGACCTTAGCCTCCACAATGTTTTAGAGCTGGACTACACAGGCCAATTTAATTTAGCAAGTATGCATGTTTGCAGCCACCAAATACTATGCACACTTTTTTGCACCTTGTTTTTCATATTCCATTTTATCTGTGCTTTCTTTTATGATTTAGTATTTTACATTTAAATTTTTACTTCAACTGGACAATATTTATATGTCCAAAACATATAAATTATGGTTATTACAGGATAACCTTAGGGAAATTTCCAAGTATGTTTTTTGGTCATTTTGAGGCAAGGTCTCCATTCAGTTCAGACTGGCCTCAAACTGGCTTGTCTCAAACTCGCAGTGATTCTCCTGTCTTAGCTTCCCAAGTGCTGACATTACAGGTGTGCTCCACCACGCCTGGCTCAGTACCTTTTAACTTCATCAAGTAATGGTATTTTTTCTTTCACATGGAAAGAGATGAGACTGTGACTTTTATTATTAAGGATATCATCGCAAGACCTGTATGCCTTCTTCCCAAAAGATAATTCACATGTGACAAAAAAGACTACAGGTTTGTAAGTTTTCATAAAAAGTTTTGGTGTGGAAATTGTGCTGACCACTTATTTTAGACATAGACTGGAGAAATTTTGACCTTAAGGATCAAAGCATGATACAAATTCCGTCTGAATGTCGCTAGGCTTTAGGGAGTCTTTTTTGCTGAAACAGTGCCACAGTGGTGTCCATGAAAGCTGATTTGACAGCAAATGCATTAGTGAAGAAGCTTCTTCAGTTTAGAAGTCCAGACACCCCTTAAGGCTAACGTCTAAGTGTGCTGTGGGTGTGTACTGGGTACAGAAGGAAGGAATGAGCAAAAACAATCTGAACTCTTCCTTGGTATCTCTTCTGTTTTATGATGATTAAAAAGCCTCACTCAAGAGTTAACGTTCCTGATTTTGGCAATTTCCAGCATCTTCCCCAAGGGCGAAATAATTGTCCCAAGAGTCTGCTTTTCCTAACTGATTTGATCACGTTTTATCACTATACATCTCTATTTCTAGACTCCACCTTGTCCTATTGATTTTTCTAGCTCTGCCTGTGCTACCTTACTCTGCTGTAATTCCAGCAGTTTCTCCAGGGGCAAATCCAGCCAATGACTCCTGAAGTAGTGTTTCCTGGCCAGGTCTTTTTTGGTCAGCTAAAATGCACACATCATGTAATTCATTAATTTTTAGCATAAAGTTTAGTATGTATTCATAGGATTGTACAACCATCACCTCAATCTAATTATAGAACATTTCATTTCATCTCACCAAAAAAGAAACCTGATGACAGAAATCACTTCTTGGGCTGGGGATTTAGCTCAGTGGCATAAGTGCCTGCCTTGCAAGCATGTGGTCATGATTTCAATTCCCGGTAAAAAATAAAAATAAAACAAAAATAAAAATAAAAAAGAAATCACTTCCTGTTCATCCCTCCTCCTAGCTTTTGTTAGTTCTGTTCTTCATGTTTTGTTGTTACATGTGTACACGTGGAATTGCTGGGTCATAGGATAGCTCTGTTTATTTATATTTGAAGAGAACAAAACTGTTTCCACTGACTGACTACATCATTTTACATTCATATCAGCTGGTCTGAGTCCAAATTTCTCATTTCAATTCCTTTACTGATTATTTTATTACATATTTTTGATTCTTACTCATCCTTGCCAGATTATTTTTCCAGTTAAACAATGGAAACATTTGTCAACTTTCTTTTTTTTTTCCAAGACAAGGTCTTGCTACGTAGTTTGCAATGGCCTTGAATTCACTGGGGGAGAACAGGCTGGCTTCAACTTGTGATGATCCTCCTGTCTCAGCTTCCCCAGTGCTGGAATTACAGGTGTGCATCACCACACGCAACAAGTTTCCTACTTTTAACAGTCTCCAGTTTCCATAACCCATACAGCTAAAAAACAAATATTTACAAATATTCACAGTTCCCTGGTTGCAATTTGAATTCTTCATTCGTTTCCTTTTTCTGATGGAAAGAGCAACTCAACAAATTTATGCAAAATTACGGACTGAACATGGCTATATTTAGCCTTCTATATCAAATATTCCCTCATTCTAAATACTTTTTAAAATGCTATTGGAATTTCTGCAAGTTTTCAAAAATTCACTTCAATGAGGTGACCAGTAATTTAGTATGTCTTCCAGGTATACTGTTGCCTGCTTATAATTCTGGGAGATATATGTATAAGTATATATATATATATATATGTTTTTTTTTTTTTTTTTTCTTTTTCATTTTTATCGGTACCGAGGATCGAACTCACGACCGCCTGCTTGCAAGGCAGGTGCTTATGCCGCTGAGCTAAACCCCCAGCCCCATATATATGTATTTTTTTTAAACAAAGATACTAGGACCATCTTTGTGGGTATCTTGGATTTATATTTAAGTCACTTAAGGCCATTTTATTTATTTACTTTTTATTTGGACACATTTGCAAGTGTCCATGTAGTTTACAACTGTCTTGGGAAATGGTTACATTACATGTGTAGTACAGTACAGCATCTTTCTTTTTTTAAACATTCCCTTCCTCACCCTGCTCCTTCCTCCTCTAGTTCCCCTTCTCCTTCTTGTAGATGTTCCTGATGGGTATCATAGGTCCTGTCAGCTGGGTGGCTAATTTGAGTTCTTAAGCAGAGCTGTCTCCCTTCTTGGGCACTGATGACTTCCTGGGGAAGAGGGTGAATCCGGAGCGGTACTCTTTCAGCCACTGAACACTGGCCTTCATGGACTCAGTTGATTTGCTACTCCTCCTTGGGTCCACTGAGATGCCAATGGCTTGGACCACCCTCTTGTGAATACCACCCACTCGCAGCTCCTCCAGACTAAAGCCCCTGCTGGCTTGGACCTTGGTGTAGTACCGCACCTCACAATGGGACAGCGCACCACAGGCCAGATGAATTTGGACATGGGGCAAGGGGTGAGGCGGCACGCTTTTGCCCGGTGGGCCTTGCGCCTGTGGATCTTCCGGCTGGCTGACCGAACCATGCAGCCATGTGCTGCTGCCAGCCCTTGTGCGGCTTCAGAATCATGCCATTCCACCTGGGTGTCATGGCTACCTCAGGCTGCAGACCAGCTGAATGGAGAAGTCTCTTTCCCTTCTTATCCTGATTTCCATAATGGTTGTACTAGTTTGCATTCTCACCAACAATGAAGGATGGTTCCTTTTTTAAATCACACTAAAGCCATTTTAGTATAAGCCAACTTCTCACTCCTCTCTTCACATATGGTTAAATTTATTTTCTTTGGCCATAAAAATATTTAAAATACCATACTCATACTATACTCGTTCCCTTGGTATGAAGGCTGCCCATTTCTAGTGACACATGTCACATGTGCCTAGATGGTGCCTAGATACCCAACTAGGTATGGCTGCCCTCTCATACTGCTTCACAGAGGAGAGACCCCTGCTTTCTGCCTGAGCCCCTGAAGTTTGATGGAGGAGCTTATGTGAGTGCTCACGTTTGTAATTCACGGTTAGGACTTTGTTGCTGCTAGTAAACACATGGGGCACTTCAAACATCAAATGAAGCGCTGATGCTGAAAGATTAAGACTTGTTTTTGTTAAAACCAGGTATGATCACTTAATAGAAGTGCTGCCCACTACCCATGCTGGGCTTATGTAGGGCTCTCAAGTCAGGTATCACCCATTTTACCTCAACCTATTCACAAAATTATAAATTCTCAAACAGAATGCCAAAAGTTCTATTTTTGTATCTCAATGTGTGGCCGTCATTTCTTTTCTTTGCTTATCAGACATTATTGCAACTTTTTCTTAAAACTTAGAAGTAGAAACTTAAAAGAGGTCAAGCCAACTTGGTGCAGTGGAGCACACCTGGTAGTCCTAGTTATTTGGGAGGCTGAGGCAAGACTGCCTAAGCCCAGGAGTTCAAGACCAGCCTGGGAAACATAGTAAGCTTCTGCTTCAAAACAACAACAAAACAAACAAGAGGCTAAGTACAATAACTGGCAAAAGGAGCTGACCAACCAAAAATCTCTATAATTTAGTTGCCTCACATTCTTTCTGAGCAAGCTCAATGCTATTAGTGATATAACCATTGTTTAAAGCATAGGATTAATTAAGACTTTGTGGTTAAAATATGGCTCTATATTGCTCAGCTGCTGCTACGACCACCTGGTCTCTGTGTCAACTTTGCCCTGGCAGGGGATGATGAGGTTGGTGTAAGGCCAGTGGAAAAGTGGAGGTTGAGTCCCCGCTGTGCTGGGTCTTCCCTGCCTGAAGAATTGAGTGGTGTCTTGGCTCCAAACAAGAGCACAGTGTGTCCAACTCTTTGACAAACAACTTACACTGGGGTTACTATAATGAAAGATAAAGGTATGAGGAAGAGTAAAGGGGTTGCATTTGTATTATTTTTAGATAAAGACTGCACAAGAGACATAAACAACAAATAATTATTTGGCAGACGGATAAATGCAAGCATCACTATTAACAATGGAAGAGCAGCTGAATAAACTAAAAGGTGAAACTACTCTGATAAATCTAAGTGTTATGAAAGTGGACACTTAAATGTTATGCTTGTCCGAGAAATATGCTCAGAGAACACGAGTCTCCAAAGAAGGAAGAAAAAAGAAAACTGTTATATCAGAAGAACCTGAGGATGTAGCAGGAAGTGAAGATAAGGGGAAAGACCCTGCTATTGACAGCCTCAGCCAAGCCAAGACTGAAAAACAAAACAAACAGAAACCCAACACAGGGGTCCCTTCAACCTCAGAGGATTCATGCTGCCTGAGGATAAAGACCACGTATTTCAGTGATGAGGAAGAATTTAGTGATTAAAGTTGTATAATGTAACGTCAGTAAAACAGAAACCATCTGCAGTACAAAAAAAAAATGGCTCTATTATTTACTGTAAAAACAGAGATTAAGTTATTTCATCTTTCAGACCCTCAAGATCCTCTATATAATACTGGTATCTACACTCATAGGATTTGGGGAGAATTGTATGTAATAATATAGACAAAGGGCTTGTTATTGTATGAGATACTAAAAATACTTTTATTATTTGTCATTATTACTATCATGATCAAACATCGAAGTATTTTACTTAGATTTTTAAAAACTAAAACAATTTTTCCAATGAACTAATATAATTTAGTATTAGTCTAATAAAAACTAATAACACTTTTAAAACTATAGTATGCCATAAAAGTATCATACATTATTTATTATGCCAAATTACCTATATCAATATTTTCTCTTCCCAGTGCCACAAGTGAGAGAAACAATATTTCTCTGTATAAACTCCTAAGGAGAAAAGATATGAAGAAAATATTAATATCCATGTAAGTTTATGTGTTCTGTAGAAAGATTTTTATAACCTAAGCATGAAATAGTTTAAAAAATAACTAAGCAAACAAAATACACCTGCATAGCAGAGCAGTATGTTTATTACATTAGAGTAATGAGAATGACTTACCTCTGTCTTTTAAAATGTGGACACTTACTCAGTGTCTCTAAAATCTGACTCATTGGTCCATAGACATCATTCATTTTAATGCTTTTTACCATACTTTTCAGTAGCTCCTGGTTAAATGAGTTATCAGTTTTTTGCAATAAATGGACCATTGGATACTTTTGAGCTATAAAAAACAAAAAGAGCAAATGAAGGAATGTTCTATGTAGAAAGAAAAATTAAATAGCAACTGACAGCTGTTACAGTTACAAAGCACTAAAAATAAATTAAGAGCAATAAAGGTAAAGGGGTAGAAATCTAAGAATGAAGAAAATAAAAAAAGAAAAGTAAGACAAATGATGGCAAAAATAGGCCTAACACTTTTTGTGGTCTCAAATACACAACAACCAATAATATTTTCTTTTAATACTAGCCCTTGAAGGAAATTCTACATCAATAGCCATGAGTGAAAAAAAATACATAAAAAAATTAGGACAAGCAATGTGCTGAAAGCTGAATTGTACAGAACATAACCCCTCCAGCACATATACATCACCCCTCGAAGATGAAAATAAAACAAAACCTCCAAAAAAAAATTGACCTCCACAGAAGGTAGCACTAAAAAAAGTAAAGCTTAACACTCACTCTCAAACAAAAGAGTACGATTTTGACCTGTAAGACAAAAAGTAGTACAGGGAAATAAAGTCAGTTATGTATCATTTCAGACTATTTAAAGCAAGTAGAGATTACTCTTGTATGAATGAAGTTAGCACTGTATGAGGGCACTTACTGTGGGCGTTCCAGAGGATGTATAGAGGCTGCCCTGGATCCTGATGTAATTTCATGTTGTCCCATAACATTTGTATTAAAACATACTTGCTATCTTCAGACATACAATGGCGAGGAATCTGTGTGATACAATAAAACATTAATTAATGATCTTTATATGATAATTTTGTGAATATTTAAAAAATCTTTATAATTCTTTAAAAGTATGTGTGAAGGACAGAGAACAGAAAATAATTCATGAATATGCTTTTGATAACTGTTAAAAGATGTGCTGAGTTGAGAAGCCAATGATCTCTAAAGGAGCAGATTTAACACAGTGAAAAAGGATTAACACCAAAAAGGGTTCATCTTGTTCCTGATCATGACACAGAGCCCACAGAAAGATGAATCTGGGAACTGAAACCAGGGCCCTGTGCATGCTAAATAACTGCTTTACTACTTAGTTAATCCTCAGCCCCAGGAGTCCCATTCTTTATCAGCCAAGACTCTTGCCTAGATAATTATGACTGAGTTACATCTTTGTCATTCAAGATGTACTCAAAGTCAAAAACACAAGTGCAATCACAGACATGAAGTATAAGAAGAAAGAAAGAAAAGTTTTTGAATTTACAGACTGCACTTTAATGGTGGTGACAGCATATAAAAGCTATATATGGAGGCTGGTGTTACAGCTCAGTGGTAGAGCACTTGTCTAGCATGACAGAAGTCCTAGGTTTGACCCCAGCATGCAAATATAAATAAATAAGTATATGAATATCTAAAAAACTAATTGAATAACTGCTGATCCAAAATTCAGAGCGAGAATGAAGAGAATGATACTACACGCTTGCAGTATAAACCTCAGACATTCTCAGTCTTGTTTTTAGAAGGAGGTTTGAAATAAGGTTGGGGTTAGCTCACAAAGCCTTTTCATTAAAAGTCACTTTGAGTTTATTTTTGAAATAATCACAAAAATATAAGAATTCTGTAAATTTTAGTGGGTAGTTCAAAATCATGACTATGTTACAGTTAAACTATTAAGAAAAAATTTTAAGTGCAACTAGACACAGACATCATTAATTTTAATGATTTTTACCATATTTTTCAATAGTTCTGGTTAAATGAGTTATCAGTTTTTTGCAATAAATGGACCACTGGACACTTCTGAGCTTAAAGATAATTCTACATGTCTAATGAGTTCAACGGTTATTAATAACAGCCTAAAACAGTTTTTATCTTTGGGAATATGTGAACATTATGATGGTGACAGTAGTGCTGCCTTTTCATTTTTATTCCATACCTTTGAATACTTGTTACAATGCTCAGAAGAAAGAATCAATCCGGGTAAGTTACTGGGCAGATCAAGACGTCTGAAATACCACACCAAGTTCCAAAAAACAATTGGATGATGGTCTACAAAGTCTGCTACCATTATTGCATGATCACCTTCATTTTCCAACAAGCTCTCAAGTTCCTTCCATACCACTAATGGACTAAGATATGGGACAGTGACAGGATCTGGACTTGGAAGGTGCCATTCTATTCCCAAAGAATCCTATTGAACAAATAAAAACCATAAAGAACATACAACAATGATGATACTAAATTATTCATAAAAATTTGTCTGTCAATAATTTCCAAGTAAGTAGAAAGGTAACATAATTATATCATGTAATAAGACTTTGTAGCAATAATAAACTTGAAGTTAAGTCACAGGGAACAAAGTCATATTTAAATGACTGATCTGCAAATTATAAAAACACCAAAATACTTACAGTAGTTCCTTGTAAACTAGCTGGCAGGCTGCCTGTAGGAATGAGCGTCTGTCCTCCAGTATCCTCTTTATCCAAGGGGCCATAAGTACTAATACTCCTTGCCATTGGAAATAATGGACATTTTGACATAGCTGTTTTTGATCTACTAGTGGGGATCTGGACACTTCGGGCACAGGAATTTTCTTGTAGGTTAGATTTGCTTGAGCATTGGAAAAAGAAAAAAGCTTATTAGTGTCTTGATTTACTTAATTCACATAGAAGAGCCACACTATTCTCTTTAGAATCCTAACAGAATGTACCAAATCAAGAAAACGTGTTCTGAGACTTCAGCTGGGAAATAGGATACATTTTTAGATAACAGAGTAGCCACGTCAAACTTCCTTTTTATCAAGTGAACTTTACTCAATATTCATTCATCTGTTCAAAATACTCAGTGACAGCTTTTATACAACAGGAACCACACTAGCCTCTAGGGATAGAGAGTACAGCAAAAGGACACATAATCCCTCAGGAGTCACAACAGATCTATGATGAAAGAAGGTGCACACACATAGGTTTTTAGTTTTACTGTGTAAGCACTTCAGAACAAATTGGTCACGTTAGCCTGCCAACACTATATAGGGTTTTTTTTGCACATGCAGCCACCAATATTACTTCATTTGCCCTGTTATATATCCCAGTGTTGTTGGCACTTCAGAATTTAACTATGGATTATTTATATTAGGCTTACTATATAAGTTTAGCTTAACTTGGAGGAATGTTTTCATATATTAAGCATTTCTATGTAGAAAATTAACCATTACAAAATAGAAATCAGTATTGACTTAATTCCTAAAGACAGAGGTAAGAAAAAGTTCATCATTATAAACTTCCAGGATGTTACAGAGTTTTTACCTTTAAATGATGAATATTATCATATGTACATACAGTTAAACTTTTTTTTCTTAAGACAAGGTCTTGCATGTACATGGTCCAGGCTAGCCTGGAACTTGTGATCCTATTGCCTTGGCCTCCAAGTGAAGGGATCATGGGCATGCATCAACCCACCTGGCTAAATTCTAGAGATTCGTAAAGCATGGTATATAAGTAACCACATATATTTAAGATTTAGCCTATTAGAGATTTTAATATTGGTTTAATTAGAAATAAGAATTTAAGATTATAAATTTACTTTTCACAGATATGTAAGCCTTAAAATGCTCAGCTAATTTTTCTGTTGTACATCTAAAACACATGTGAACATACACAACACATGGAACAATGTTGTTAAAATATAGTTCCCAGGTGGATCCAGCACTCAGGAGGCTGAGCAAAGGACTACTTGGGTTCTGGAATTCAAGACCAGTCTGAGTAACACAGCAAGATCCTGCCTTAAAGTAACAAATAAAAAATAAAAATATAGCTTCCCCAAATCATGCTTACCTACTTAGATCAAAATTTCCTTGAACAGAGAGAGGAGATGCATCAAGCCCAGAGGCAGATGTTGAAATGCAAGACTTCTTTGTCTGACTTGAAAAGGAGGATGGAAAGTGCATATATTCTGTAGACGAGCTTGACTTCAAAAAATATCTGGAATGTGAATCAAAGAGTTTTCTGAGAAAGGAACTACTCTAAAGACATGGCCTTTAAACCTAATGGGAGAAAATATACCATTACCTTCCAGGTCGTCTTAAATCTCTTATTTCAATATTCAGAAAGGGTAAGAAAAGATTGCCACAGAATGGGCATGTGGTATTGAGGTTGGAGTCATCTGCTGTCCAGCCAGCCATGATTTCCTCATCGTGAACAAGACAATCACAAGTTCTACACCGAGAACAACTTGAAATGAGAACCTAAGGGAGAAGACAGTGCTTTACAAAGCAGGCTGGTGATGGTGTATCTTGAGCCAAAAACCATTTCAACTAATTGTAAAGTCTATTGGAAAATTAAAACTCAGAAGGATTCAAACATTACAGACAAAAAGTGGAGCACATGCAGAGCACTGTATGCCATACTCATCTTCAACCACTTCAGCTTAACCTTCTCCAAAACTTTTGCTTGGAAGAAAAGTTGGCATTAAGTGACTATTTTCTATTATAACTACAGTACTATAAAGTTTGCTGTGGTTCTACTCACAAAAAAGTAAACAAGCATTAAATTCATTAATAAGCCAAAAATATTTTTTTAATTATAGACCAATGCTATCCAAGAGGTCATTATCAGACCAGTTCTGATCCACAAACTCTTTATTGGTTTGTGATAAGAAAACAACTGAGAGGATTTAGAAATCCATAAGGTAATTACTAGTAACGTAGTTTACAGGAATATTATATTAGAAATTAAATAAAACACAAGTCTAGTCTATAACTTAGACAGGCTGAGAAGTACTGCTGGGGATAAATATGAATGCTGTTATTATATTAATCAAATATAGAAATTTCTAAGCCACAGAAAAACAGCAACATCAGTGCTCATCATTTATTTTCCAGCTGTATGCAAATTTTTATGTAAATTAATATAAAACACAGTGACTACATTCACAAATATAACTCGAAGCAATTTCCCAGAAAAATCAGACAAGTTTTTAAAAGTACGAAAGTATGACTTTTCATTTCAAGAAAAAGATATAGAAGCTGACCCAGCAGAGATCTACAATAAAATGACATGAGAATAAATGACATGATCAAGTTGACAATGTCATGCTGCAACTGCTTTTTGTACTTTATCAAAAGTTTGCTTAGGGCTGGGGATTTAGCTCAGTAGCTTAAGCACCTGCCTTGCAGGTGCTAGGTCATGAGTTTGATCCCCGGTACCAATAAAAAAAAAAGTTTCCACAGAAAATAGCTTGAAGTTACGTGAAATAAACATTCTAAGAGAGCACTCATATAGTAAGAAATAAATATAAATGCCAAAAATGAAAACACTGTCTTGATAAATCTCAAAGTAAGTCTGTAATTGTAGTAATAAAGTAGTTAGATTTCAATAATCTGAAATAATAGATATCCAAAAGTCAGATTTTTTATTCAAAGTTTTATTAAAAGTAGGAAAACAAACAGGCTCTGCAAAGCAAGTTTGGGCCAGTAAAAGTAGGAAAAGAAGTATTATCTTGCAGTGTGAAGGTGGGCTGTCATGCAAGACTCAATGCAGTGGCCAAAAAGATTTTAACTTTTTATTCACAAGTGATGTACAAGCTGATATTTCAGACGCCACCGATTTTTTATTCCTGCACCGTACATTCTATAAAGTAGCACAGAAAGATGCTTTTTTGAGTAAAACCGTACCTCCATTGCATAGTTCTGGAAGATATTTGCATTACTTGTGTTCAGAGAAGATGGCACTTCTGATTTCCCAGGTAAGGCAAACTTTGAGAGGGATCCTGTTGATTATTAAAACGCAAACAGCAAAACCATTAAAACAGGTAAGAAAGGATACAAGAATCTTTCAATTCCATGGTTTTTTGTTATTAACCTGTTTTACAAAAATGTTAAAGGTAATTTAGAAAAAACAAACAATTAAAGAAATATTTTTCTATGCAAAAAGTAATAGTAGAAATGGTTGGCTCACAAGAAACGGGATAGTAAAACTTGTTAAACACCAGATTCTTAGTTTCATTTTTGTAAGAAAAATATACATGAAAAGTAAAATGAAGTACATTCCCTACCTAACACAAGGCAAAAATCCAGAAGTCTGCCAGCATATTTTGTTGACAAGGCTGCGGGAAAATAGGTATTCTGTTGGAATGCAAAATAGTATACCCTTATGGGAAGGAATTTAGCATTTATCACTTTATGGAAAAATTTTGCAATACCTTCTAAAGCATACTGGTAAAAAAACGATATGACAGATGCACTATAGAATTTCAAGGACTAGAAACTTATTGTTCATCAATAGGGAAGTAGTTTAGGTGAACTATGATGCAACCATACACAAGGAGCTAGGCAGCAACAAGAATGAAGGACACTGCCATGTGATAAAAATTCTTCAGCATACACTGTTAAGTCAAAAAAAAAATCAGTGGGAAGGAATTTGCTGTATGTTACCTTTAAGGAGACAGGGAGGTAAAAAGGATATATAAAAGTACCTAAACAAATTAAAAAATGAAATGATAAACAAAAATTAATAAAAATGAGTTTCCTCCAGGGATAAGAATTAAATAGTAAAAAAAGTAATATCACAAATCAAATGCAAGAAGACTGAGCTGTTTGGACAAACCTTCTAAGGAGACAGAACTTTCCAGGCTAGTTCGGCTGAGATCAATTCCCTTGGTCCCAGAAGTGGCACTGCTCTCTTGGGAGGAAGTGGCTCCTTCCAACTCATGGCAGGCATCTTCATCTGTCAAAGAGGTAGATTCAGAATCCTGGGCTCCCACTGAAGAAAGACTGGTACGATCAGAACTTTGATCCTAAGGACATAATTGTAAGCTTAATTTCCTTCACATTTAAAGTTAATTATTTAAAAAGTTACTTCTATGGCAGGAAAAAACACCAACTACCTAACTACTCAGATGATCAATTAGAACAGCAACCAATTTCATAAAAGCAAACTAATCTGAGTAAGCATGCTAGAGAACAATTTTTAAGAAATAATTTTTACTCTCAGCAAGCTATATACCCATTAGTGAAGCAATCTTTCTACATCATGATGTAGATGTACTTTTAACATCTATTTACTATTAATTTTCCTCCCCATAAATCCCCATCCATAATTAGAATTGTTTTATACTTTTCCACAATAACATATGTTTCAAAGAGATATATTACTAGTTTTCATTTCTGAAGACACTAAAGCTAAGTACTTTTCTGATTATACTAAGAATATGTAAGAAAACCCACTAAATAATTTTTGTATGAAAGATAACTTTATAAACACCTGTAATTCTACTGTTCAGATAATAATTTTTCCACTTGTATGTATGTACATCAGTATTTTTAAACACACATTGCTTTAACATTTTTTTTTAAAATCGGGATTGAACTCATGACCGCCTGCTTGCAAGGCAGGTTCTTATGCCGCTGAGCTAAATCCCCAGCCCCTGCTTTAATATTTTTATTTAGTCAAATATTTTAATCCATTATGGTTTCCAGGATATGTTTCCTGTGCTCTATAATAATAATAAAAAATATTTTTGGTATCTTATTTTTCATCTAAAGATATAATTCATCTAGGGATTTTTTTAATGTCAAAAGGATTCTAACATTTCCCTAAATAGCCAGCTAACCACTCATTGCAACATATTTATCTATTTATTTTTTGATACTGGGGATTGAACTCTCAATCTCACACTTACCAGGCAAGCACCTGAGCCACTGAGCTAAATCCCTAGGCAAATACATTTATTTAATATTCTCTTGTTCACGGATTTGACATGCTGTCTTTTCATATTTCATTGCATGTACATGTACAGTCTTATTTCTGGACTTTTACTATACCAGTCTATTCTTCTTTTGTATTAATATACTTTTACTTCCAGTTTCAGGTTTGTTTTGATATTTGGGTGGTGGTCTTACATTTTCGTTTTTCAAGACTTTCTCCTGGCTAGGTGTGGTGGTGCATGCCTGTAATCCCAGCACTGGGAGGCTGAGGCAGAAGGATTGCCCTGAGTTCGAGGCCGGCTTGGGGTACATAGTGAGTTCAAGCCCAGCTTGAATTGCACAGTGAGATCCTGACTCAACAAACAAACAAGCACTTTCTCCTGATCAAGGCTGATTATGACCAGTGAACTATGGCTCATCAATCACATTGGTAAATGATTTGCTCAGTTCCTTTTCCTTTTTTTAGTTTTTAATTGGATTAACTTGATTAATTTTAGAAGACTTCATATGCTAAGCCCATTAAAATATCTCTCAGTAAAGACTTATAATTCTACTCATGCAGATGTTATTCATTTCATTTTGGTTTTGCTTCTAGATATTTTAGGTTTGTATTTTGGTGAATTACCTTGTCATTTAAAATTTTTTGTCATTTTTGTAATTAGCTATTGCCAAATATAAGGAAATTATTTTTAAAAATGTTTACCTTCTTTATTGTCATTTTATTGGTTCAGTTTTTCAGTGGCACCTTATAATCTCACCTGTGTGAATACTTCTGCAATTTTCTTTTATTAATTTTTTTGAAATATTTTTCTCTCATTCCTTTTGTCTTCTGGCATTTAAACATCTACAATACTGTTGAATGGTACAGGTGTTAGCACACTTCCTTATCTTGATATTGAGGTCAAATGGAATGATTACAATGTCTCACCCTCAAGTACAGTATTTGACACAGTTTTTCAATTTTCTATATCAAGCTAATTTAAGTTTGTAAGTCCAGCTTTCTAAAAACATTTTTAAGTTAGGGTAGGCATAACTTTTTATCAAGTCCTTATTGCCCATTTATAAAAATGATTGTTCACACATATTTAGTAATAAAGACTAGGCTGATAAACATACTCAGCAGTTGTTAATATATTTTCACAACAACTCTCTCCTTTTGGTGGTAGATCTGATTGCAAAAGGGCATGTCTGCAAGCAGGTCACTCTTTGGGGTGCACGCATGAGGAATAAGAATAGAATTTATAGGAAAGACACAGGAAGAAAGATTTTATATTGGTTGGGTGGATACTTCAGTATATTTTAAATAGAATGGGACTTTCCTTGAAGGAAGAAAGTTTTGAGCTGGTGGTAGGATTTTGCAATTACTCTGAATGACTTCTTTTCAAGCCAATGCCCATATTTAGTTACTTTTACCTCACTGTTGAGACAAAATACTTGACCCTCAAAGTTAAAGTGGAGAAGTTTATTTAACTCACACTTTGTAGATTTTCAGTTCATAATCAGCTGGCTCCAAGGCAAGGCAGCATGGCAGATGGGCATTGCAGAGGAGAAACAGTTTATGGCAGGCAGAAGGTAGCAGAGCAAGCAAGGGACAAGACAAGCCTCTGTCTCTTATATTATATCTAGGTTACTGGGATTAGGGTACTGCCAAACCAATCAGTGGATTTATCAATCACATTCCCCTAATCCTAGCATTGTCCCATGAATCAGTCATACACTTTAGATTCAATCACCGCTGGAAAAGCTCCACCTAAGACAGCGTGAGGCTTTGGGAGGACATCTAGACAGAAGCTACAACATTCTACCACTGGCCCTCCAAAGATTTATGCACATCCCTCTATGCAAAAGGCATTTAGTCCATCTCTGAGAGTTGCCAAAGTCCTAACAGTTTCAGTATTTCTGGAAAGTCCAAATCCAAAGTCTCCTCGGAGATTTAAGGGAAACTTCATGGCAGGCTGAAGGTAGCAAAACAAGCAAGGGACAAGACAAGCTTCTTTCTGTCCCTTATATTGTATCCAGGCTACCAGGATTAGGGCAATGCCAAATCAATCAGTGGAAAAGTAGTGGTGATGTAGAAGGGACTACTAGGAAGCACAAAGCAGTATTCATGAAGACAAATGTGAAAATATTGTATTGTACTATACCACAATTTAAAGACAAATATATTAAAAGTAAAATGTTTATTTACAGTTTTCCTGTACTGTACCATCATCTGAAAGTAACCATAAAAAATAAAAAAGTTGGGGCTGGAGATTTATCTCAGTGGCACAAGTGCCTGCCTGGCAGGCGTGAGGTCATCCCTGGTACCAAAAAATAAAACAAAATAAAAAATAAAAGTTTATTTAGTGTTCTTATGTATGTTTGGTTTCTTATGGTTTTTCATTATATTTGTGTCAAAGATGTGTAACACTCACTTTGTTAAGACTTAAAACAAATCTGACTTACAAATGTTCTCCTGTAATAGAACTCTTTGTAAGCTGGGACTTACTGCAAATTTTGATTACCATGCTAATTACACACTGGCTTATTTAGCTGGGCTTCACAAGTAAGCAGCTTTCATTATGGTGGCTGGTGTTCCTTGTGACTTTTTTTTTTGAAACAAGGTCTTGCTATGTAGTCAAGGCTGTCCCTAAACTCACCACATAACCTTGATTGGCTTTAAACTCGTGGCAATCCTCCTGCCTCAGCCTCCTAAGTGCTGGGATTCTAGGAGTGCAACACCACGTATGAGTCCCCTGTGAGTGACTATGGAGGAGGCTGTCCTTTCTATACTTACACATCTCCTTTAATATGATTTCATTTGCTAATTACACAAAGGTCTGAGAATGTCTGATGTACTGATGGGATGCTTTTCTATTCTTATTGTCATACTGGACTTACAGTCCCATATTTATCTTTTTGTGTTAATAGAATCTGAGGAGGGAAGATAAATGTGTATTTTAATATTCTGAACTAGAATATTAAAATTTTGTTGCTTTTCCTTTACAAAAGAATTACACTCCATAAAGAATAAATTTTTCTAATATAGATTATATAAGTTTAAGGTGATTTTTAAAAAAGATTCTTCTACACTGGGAGACATTAAAAATTTAATGAGACTGTAAGTTTCCTTACTTGTAACAATAATAAACCAGTTATTTAGCACTTTCAGTGGGTTAGTCACTTGACTAGTATGATAATATAGTTTTTTTTCAGTTTTCTTTCACAATTTCTAATTCTTAACATAGTCTTGATTTTTCAGTACATCTTTAGAGTGATAAAAGTGAATGACAGTCTTCCATAATAATTCTGGGGAACAGTAGGTCTTAAAAGGCAAAATCTCTCTGACCCTTTCCTGCCCCTTCTACCTCTCCAAGGCAGGCTATAGAAAATAATTTCTCTTCCCAAGATGCAATCACAGAAACTAAAAACATTCTCTAATCTTGGCCCTGTTTGTCTTGGACCTGGCCAGAACTTTTCACTCAATTACATGGTCTGACAGTAGACAGTAAGGCTTTTAATTCAGAAGGGACCAAGTGCTACACCCCAGTGGCCCAGAGGGATCTGACAAGCTCAGCTCAGCCAGAGAAGGAGCCATGCCCCAAGTCCCTGTCACCACTGGGGAAGGGAGGAGGGCATCTGTGAACAAATGCCAGGTGCCTCTGTGCATCTCTGCCCCTCTAGGAACCCCGGATTGGAAGAACCCAGCTGCCTAGTCCAAAGGTAGCAATGTAGGAATGGGCTAATGGAAGCACATGGTATGCAGCATTGGGCTAATTTAGAGAAACACAAGAAAATGTCAAGATGAAGGAACAAAACACAATCTCAGACCTCTAGCTCACACAGAACAAGTTCAGGAGACAAAGACATAGTACACATAAGAAGTCATACACCTGAAACTTCTGAAAAGATAACAACTGAAGAAGTAATTTTGTTCTTGAACTATTTGGTTAATTCTCCATGCCTATGTCTGGTAGTCTGGACAGCTATTTTGAAGATAACAAGAGGCATTATGGTAGCCCTTGTTAATTTCCTCTTAGCTTCTGTTTTGAAGTCCTGCATTGCTTTTATTGTTTTGTTTTGCTTGACTTTATTATGCCTGACGGTATGG